CATGACTCCGCTTCCAGATAACCTCACCTGGATGACTGAGAATCTTCACAGATATCTTTATAAGGAAGATTTTCCTTCTTCATATTGTGTTTGTTTCTGTGCCTTTTTATTTACTTTAGGTTCATTACCAGTGCAAACAATATTCCAGGTAACAAATCTGCAGCTCATTAGTCTTACATTAGCAAGATGCAAAAACAAAAATAACAAAATAAAATGATTTTTAATTCTGCAAAGAGCCCTTTAAAAAGTTTACTTCTTCAGACCCACAGAAGATACTGTGGCCTGGATGTGTTGTTATCACCCAGGTAAGACACTCACAATAGTATGCACAGAAAGTTCTTTATAATTTGAATTGATAGGATCCCTCCTTTTGTATGCAAAAATGCTCACTCAAGAAACTGACAATAGCATAAAATGAAACCATAAAATGAAAAGTTTGGAAACTTTATTTTTTTAGTCCAGTTGCCGCACACCTGTAACCATGCTGTCATCTAGCTGGCTGGGAAACTTTGGAAGTGCACAGGAAAAAAATAGTAAGATCTCCAAGCTCTGAATAAACAGGGTGTTAAAATATGTATATCATCAGGCAATAAACCACCAACAAGAAAATACAAGAGGAACAGAAAAGCAAATCTGGCTGCTCTTTAGATCTCTTTTAACCTGCAACCTTGTGAAATTAAGGGACTGGTGTGTTCTGATATCTGATGAACATGAAAATTGAGAGCATTATGAGACAATAAAAAGAGGACAGACTGGCTAGGGATTCTAGGATCTCTAATTTAAAAACTGAATTTCCTAAACTCTGTAAAACATCTGGACTCTTTCCGACTCTTTCCATTGTTGTGAAAATAGACATGATGGAAGAGAGATTGGGACCACTAGTGACCTTTATGGTGGGAATGTATCACAGTTAGAAGTCTGCAAATATAGAAACAGAGCTTTTTATGAACAGGCTTTGGCGCAGCTGTTCCCAATCAGACACTCTCTGCATGTCTGAGACTGCATGGTCTGCCATCTCTGTCAGCATTTGGACCGGGGATGCTGGGAATTGTAGTTCAGCATAAGAAAACTGGTTTGTGACGGATCCAATCCAGTGAATCAGAGGTAGGCAATTTATTTTATTTTATTTTAATTCTTTTTATGCCATCTTTGTCCACAAAGGGAACACAACTGTGGCCCTTCAGGTGTTGTTTCATCCTTTCTCAATGTCCATCATTCTTCATCATTAGCTATGTAGACAGGCTGATAAAGAGTTGTAATTTAATAATGTTTGCCTACATCAGTAGTAAACAAAGATTTGCTTCTAGAGTGACATGAGCTGTGTGCCTCTTTCACCCCTGCCACTGACTAGGTTCATATTTATGAAGTTTGCCCTAGAGGCTCATGGCAGAGGCCACCAAACACACAGTGAGGCATCAGCGACTGTGTCTATTGGCCTTCTCACTAGCTGTCCTTCTGTGAGTGATGTTCAGTTAAAACCCAGGAGCCACATCTGTGTATACTGTACTCACACACCTTTCACATAAGGGCTGCCACAAGTATCATAAAGCCTTGTCCTGGAGCCCAAGGGGGAGTCGTAGTTTCTCAATTCCCCCACCCCATCTCTGGGTAATTAAAGACTATCTACCTCACAGGGCTGTAGTCAGGTTGAACAGACAAGAGTTACAGCAAATTAGGGGGGAAGTGACAGATAAATGAGCAGCTGACATAGTGTTCAGTTTGCTAAAGGGTAGATGTTTAATCAGGAAAAATAAAAAAGTTACTATTATGCAGCAGTGAAGAAAGTGGATTTGATTATCAATGCAAATATTTCTAGGCACTTCAGACAGATTGTAGACTAATCACAAAATGTTCAATACAGTAGGGAATTAAACTCTTAATTATGTACTTAAATTCATTAAGGATTTAGGCATTTCTAGCATTCTCTAGTTGGACAAGAAGGTTTAGCACCCTATGTACATAATGTATATTGGCAAACAGTGGGGTGCAATCTAAACCATAGTGTCCCCAAAGCCAAGACTGCTGCCATGTCTGAATTGAATGTTAAACCATATGTTTAGCAGAATGGGAACAAGAGCTTTCCGCTTTCCTCTCAGTACCCATGGCTGTAGTTTTACTCTCATTTTCAATTAATTATGGATTGTCATTACTAACCATGGTTTATCCAAACAAGTCAGCACTTTAAAGTACAATTTGAAACCAATTTGCTCATACAAAATATAATTAAAGGCGGAGTTTGAAAATATTGCTAGGTTGAGGTACAATGCCATATTCTATCAACCAGCCTGGCCACTTGGAGTTACAGGTCAATTATAAAATGAATGTGATGTCTGGAGGAACCTACATTTGCTCCCTAAACTTACAACCCTGTTAGGTAGGTCAGGATATTTGTCCCAATACTGAGCATAGTAGACTAAGGCCATAGAGAGTTCATGCCTGCAGAACTTCAGCTAGAGAATTATTGGCTCATTGTTCACAATCTTTACTAGAACACTAGGAGTGATTGTACCAACTGCTAGATAGCTCAAGTATCTGGCTGTAGAGCCAGAAAATTGGAATTCAGTTCCCTACGGTGCCTCCTTGACAGGGGCTAGACTTGATGAACCAAAGGGTCCCTTCCAGCTCTGCAATTCTAAGGTAATTATTCTCAGTATAAATTTTCTGATCACATTTGGACAGGAGTTTGGTTTTGTATTTCATTTGTTTGTGTTTTTTTGGTACCATATTTCTTCTGACCCCAAATATTCCTACAAGAAATCTCATTTTTCTTTATATGCCATCAACAAGGCAGGGTTGCTTTTATTTCCAACAAATTACCTGGGTCTATATTTAACATGTTATTTATTACATATTGTCACAGAACAACTAGGACAATCCCTTTTTTCCCCCACTAGTCCAAACTTTATCTTCATTTATACTGCAGCCAGAACTTTAATGCAGATCAGGAAGATTATCTTTGCATCTCTTCCTTGAGCCAGTACTTATTTCTGCTTTTGCCTTGAACTAATCAAAAGGTCCCTCATCAGTGAGACACCTAAGTCTTCTTGAGCTTCATACACACCATTTTGTTTACAGTACTTCAGTTATGTTGCAATGACCTCATGCAATGATAACCTACTTCCTGCTCTAGCGTTTTCTCTTCCCAACTAGAGCCTTTCAAATGCAGTGCAATGAAACAGTTGACCTAAACACTTTGATGTCCATATAGGTTAACTTATACATTTTAGGCTCTGTTATTTTCTTCTGTGCTATGGTACTTTCTGCATGTCTTTTGCATCTCTGCTCATCATAGCTTCTTGAGGGTATCTCTGCAGAGTAAGGTGGTGCCATTTCATTTCCAATCTACAAAGCACTTTTCTTCCACAGACCCTCATCTCAGAGCCAGCTATCTTTTGGAAGTAGTGCAAGAACTAAGATTATGCTCTGAAGTAAACCAATAGCACAGGCTTCTCAGTTGGTACATCTTTGTTTTACTTTGAATAAACATTGGGTGGCCAGAAGTGAGAGATGAAATTTGTCTCACATGTTGAGATATGAAAGAATTTCATTCATTCATGCATGCATGCATGCATGCATTCATTCATTCATTCATTCATTCATTCATTCATTCATTCATTCATTCATTCATTCATTCATTCATTCATTCATTACATTTCTATACAACCCATGTAACCAATGGTCACTCTGGGCAGTGTACAGCAGTGATAACATAAAATAATGTAACCCTCTTTCCAAGACACAGCGTCCATCCCTGCCCTCAAACCCAGCCCCTCTTAACAGCTTGACTGGACATGGGTCTATCAAGCAGGGAGACGGCCCTGTTCTACCATCTGCATGACAAGCAAAATGTCAAAGGAAAGTACTCCAACCAGCATCTTTTTGGGGTGAGAAATACAATGAGAGAGTGCATTAAAGTTCATAGTCATTTCCAGTCAACCATTAGGGCTGTGACCTTCCATAAATTCACTTGGTATAAGGAAGGAGCATACAGTGAAGGGTTCTGAATCAGCATCCTCTTGCTCCAAGGAGGTTAGTGCAGTTCCATTAGGACCAACTTAACAACATACTGGTCTATACATTATTAGTTCTCAAACTGGGAAGTATGGCCCCCACGCATTGGATGGAGCATGAAGAAATTCCAAGCAGAGTGCAAAACTGTGGCATTTTTTATAAAGAAATTTTTTTATCAGCCAAAAAAATTTCTGAGACATATTTCTCAAACAAATTCCTGTTATACCATGCAGGAGTTCTCAAAAACAAAAACAATTGTGTACATATTTGTAATGTAAAATACTTTAAGTTTTTGGGATCATTTAAATTTTAAATCACAAAATTAAACTTTTGGTAATGATAGGTGGATAATGACAAAAGAAAGGTAGGGAGATGTGAGAATTTCTCAAAAATTAAAAACAGGGGCATGATAACCAGAATTTATGGGAATTGCAGTTCTAGATTAGTAACGTAGAGGACTACTTAGAAGTAATAATCAAGCAGTTTTTATTTTTAAAAGAAGTTAGATTGCAAAATTCAAGGAAGTCCCTTAAATGGAGAAAGAGGTTCATAGTTAAAAGACATTTATATAGTCACTTTTGTCTGTCTTGCTATTGACAAAATATAGCTTTTCCTGTGCTGATTTGTTGACTTTTCTGTGTATTGGGTCACTGCAGTGTCAGATCTTACTGGCATCTACATCCTGTCGAATGAGGAGAATGAAGATATATTTGGTCTCGGGTAAAAGAGCAGGTCAGGTTAAAAGCTTGGCAAGCAGACTAATAAGCCACATTTCCTCCATGGGCCACTGAAACTGAGCCTTGAGAACTCCTAGACAGCTCGGTTCCCCGCTCAGCTCCCTGCTGTTGGTTTCTAGCCATCCACTCTCATCTCCCATGCAGCTCTTGCTGTTTCCTAGGAGATGGCATGCTGCTAACCCCACACCTCATCACTGATGCCCGTGTGACATCACTGGGTCAGCACAGTCATAAAACACTTACAGCTGAGGCCCGGGAGTTATGGCTTGACTCATAGAGATATTAGCAAATCCTAAAGGACGTGTGAACTGGACGATGGACTGTGAGGTTTGCTTTTTCATTAAAGTTGTTTTGATGAGAGCGAGACATAGTGTCATTGAATGCAGACATCCTTTTTATAAAAAGAAAGGGGGAGGGGGGGAATCTCCAGAAGTGGAAGTGCAGCAGGACAGACCTGACTTTGAGCAACTTTGTTCATTGGCACAGGCTGACTGTTGGCTTGCCCCTAACACTGAACTGGCCTTAAAGCTGGGCGTCATCCTGTAACTTCTGTTCAAGACTACGCTCCGTACATAAAGCGCTCAGCCAAACCACTGCGCAAACAGGTTTATAGCCCTTCATGTACTTCCATAGGATATAAGAACAGAATCTAAGTGCAAGCATATACATACACACACACACATTCACACACACAGTCCTTCTGAGGGTTTGTCCAGACAGAGGCAAAAGTATTCAGTTTCCTTTGAAGTTTTTTTTTCCTGTTGACTAGACCATGCATGACTCCATTCACTGAGATCCATGCCCCTTCCCCATCTTCTGTTCTGTTTCTTTCTTTGTTTTAAATCTTCTGGTGAAGTTTCTGTTGTTTTTGCATCAGGCTTTTGGGGTGGGGTGGGGGTGGGGGTGGGGAATTAGCACTATAGCACTTCCTATGGAGAGCTCATTTCCTAGTGATATGCTCTTACCCAGAAACCTTGACTAACATAATTAATTAGCTTTAAAAAGAAGCCAAAAAGGGGGGTGAACCTCTCCAGTAATGAAGCTAAAAGGAGAAAGTGGATTTGTAGTTACTTGCTAGGATTACTTTTCAAGAGAAGAAATTTTTTAAGACTCGCCTTTTCTGGTGCTGTGTACATGTGAATACCAATAAACCAAAGTTAGCTTCATGAGGAACTACAAGCAGACTTCGTTTATTGTGACTCTTTTGCCTGTTTGGACAATCACTTAGTTCACAGCAGTATTCAAGCTTAATGCCTGCACCCTTTTCCAGTAGCTCCTGTGTAGTACAGACACCACTTCAGCAGGTATCTTTGCTCTTCCTACAGGAATTTATTTAATTAGCTGCCACTTAGAAGTGCATCTCTTGAGTACAGTGAATGGCAGGAAGAGGTCCAAAAACCATCTGCTCTAACTTGCTGCTCAAATCATGGCATGATTGATCTGTTACACTTATACCCTGCTTTTGCTCCGGTGAGTCCAATGGCTCTCCTTGTCACTCTAACTTCCCGAAAACCATGCGTGGTGGATTGTGCAAAGAGAGTTTTTAACTCAGGCAACCCCTTTCAACATGTACACACCAACACATATGCTATGCTTATCATAGTCCTGGAACCCAAGCATAAATTCTAAATATAAATATATCTGTACAGCCGAAAAGCTTTATTCCCCTGTAACATCCTTTACTCATTTTATAAGGAGTTAAGTGTGGCCTACAAAACAGCACAAATAAAACTGTACTATAAATGATGTCACTGCTGTTACTGATTTAACACCCCTTAGGACAGAAGGCTCCCTTCCCTTATCAAAAGGTTTTAAGTAAGTGAAAACTTCTCCACTGACCAAACAGAGGAGAAGATCTTCAGGGATTCTCCTCTTCTCTGTGAAGTCTTATATTTTCTCCGAAAATTTGCTCATGGAAGGCCATAGAAGAATGGGGGAGTTGATGGCAACACCCCCTCCCAGTTCTGCCAGTGGGATCCATCAGGAATGCTTCCATTGGCACAATATGAATTTATAGCCCAATTGCAATTTTGGTGACAAATTAGCTATAGGTACCTTATATTCGATTGATTTCGGTAGATCTCCTCTTAGCATTACTAAGGGTGAGCTTGGACTGCTGCAAAGGTATGTGCCTGATTGACCAGAAAGGGTAACTTTGCAGGGAAAAATCTTCAGTGGCCCTTCTATATGCTGAGGAATAGCTGTAGCCCAGCCCCCCAAATTAGAAGCCCTAGACCAAATTAGAAGCTAGACCAAAAATATGCATCAGGCTGGAACTCATTTCCTCATGTGTCATGTGATCACCGGGCAAAAGATTGCACTGGACTGTTCTGGAAGCAGTCTAGATTGTGATCTCTTTCTCCTTGTGATCCCCTGGTTGGATTTAACCAGGCTTAGAAACCATCCTAAAACTGGTTAAATCCAACCACTGGCTGAAAAACTCCTAGAAAGGCTTCTACCCAGCTGCCAATAGTATTGATGCCCTATCAACCTTATGCTGAAGAAACCTTATGTGGTGGTTTTCTTCCACATAGGATGAAAATGTTAGCATGCAGTCCTGTTCATATTGATCGTATTCATCACTGTGTGCCCCTATGTGTGTGTTTCTAGGACTAACGCCTTAACAATAACAAATATCAGTCATGATTACCCCTCTCCTTTCATAGCAATATGTTGTCATCCCAATTCCCCCCCACACACACACACTTTTCCACCTCTTGTGGAGACACATTAGCCACATTTCATGGAGAGCCATTCACTTATAGAGCTTTTAACATTTGGCTGAGGTAGCTACCAGGCATCTCCCCATTTCCTCCTCCTTTGCTTCCTTTGTCAACCAAACTGCCAAAACAATACAAAGAAAGGAGCCAACATCAATCTGACAAGTTGTCTCCTGCTACTCTGATGATCAAAATGATCTTCCTTACACTACACTTTTCTGAACCTGACATCTGTCCTAAATCTCAAGTCATACATACTTCTCTTCCATTAGTATGAGTCACCCTACAGATGTCCTTTTGCTACTCTTAAGAGCCATGTCAGAAATAATCATTGACTTATTGTCAACAGGCTCAGCCTACCATGTTAATGGTGCCTTCGGAGCCTCTCTTTCACCAATCGTCTTGTCCTCACATCTGAAGAGCCACTATAAAATAGCTTAACAATGTTCCTGCATGGGAGGGGAGGGGAGGGAGCCAATGCTTGCTTGCTTGCTTGTTAGGTTGCATGCAGGTGACTCGAGAGGGGGGCAAGGAACTCTGCCCTACATAACATTCCTCTTCCCTAACGCAAAAGTCAATGTACCTTGGTCGTTCTGATGCATTCACCTGCTGTTTCAAATTATGTACCCAGCATTCACTCTTACAAGGATGTATGCCGAAGTCTAACACTGTGCATGTAAAGCACTAATACTCTCCATTCTTTCAAAATCCTGTTGCCAGATTATGGAAGTAACAAATTTAAAAGCAATCCATTACTTGGCCCTTCCTTCCTTTCCCTAGTTGTCATATCAGTGTGGTTTGCCACCTGGTTGGACTGACTCTTAAAAAAAAAAAAAAACAAAGTTACACATGGGGGCAGATAACATGGGATGTTCCTCTGCCTGCATTATGTTGAAGACCTGGGAAGAGAACTTCCAAGATAGCCTTTCCCACATCACCTATTTGGATACAAGGAGTCCATTGTTTAGGTACAGAGAAGAGGTGCTTCATACATTTCTTGGTCTTTGATGACCATAGTATGTTCTGTTCCAGGAACGTACTATGAAACTGAACCTATTTTTCCTATTTTCACATCATCTAACGGCATGTTATTGTTATAAAAAAAGCCTTATGTATTATCTGTTAACAATTTATTTTAACTTGTTATTTCCATGTTCTGACTAATCCAGGGTAGTAACATTTGTGTCCTATAGAACAGGGTTCTCAAACTGGGGCCCCCCAGATGTTCTTGGACTGCAATTCCTGGAAGCCTTCACCACTTGCTGTGTCGGCCAGGATTTCTGGGAGTTGCCATAGAATACGTGCCCCTGTATGCAACTAAACATGTACAGCAAATAGGCGGGTTAAAATGACATGCAAAAACTGACTGAATTGTAATTTTTTATTATAGTCTTTAATTTTTTTTTCCTTTTTGTCTCTCTGAAGGATTGAAGAAGCATTTCAGCCATGCTCTTATCAGGACCGTGGCAGATCCACCACGAGGAAACTGCAACTGCAGCAGCTGCCAAATTTTCCTCCCTTACAGGGCAAGATTTCCTCATCTGGGATCCCACTGCTCATGTGTCTCATACGTCTGGCTCCTTGTGACAGACACAACAGAGCTAGAACATCAGAAGTATTTATAAGCTTCCATCAGATTTCATATGTTCCAAGACAGAGTCACATTTTACCTGTACTGTACATTGAGAATAACCATGCAGATTCCTCAGAGAGACTTGCAACTAGCCTTAATCTTAATCTAGTCCTACTGTTAATCCTATACAACTTGCCTTAAAATTAGGCAAAGTGAGGCAGCAGACGACGGGTGGGGGAGTAATCAGAGTTGTGTGTGTCATATGGCCTGCCCTAACCCCCACTAAATGGGCTGTATGTCTTTAGGTGTGGCAGAGGTTGCTATATAATTTCCAGCCCTAAAGTAAGTTGCAAATGCCAGGCCTCCATGCAACAACACCATCTTGTTCTTCACCTCAGACAACAAAATGTCTTGGAGTGGACCTGAATCCCTAATCAGGCATTTTCTAACTTTTGGAAATGGAGGTTCCCTATGGACTTAGCATGTCTGATGGTGAACAAGAGACCTCAGCTTCCATGCATGAGTCAAGCCCTTTTCAATGCCATTTTATGCTTTTAAATAAAGTTTCCTTCACAACATCCTGTCATAAAGTTGGTTATGCACAGCATGAGGAACTGCTTCTCTTTGTTCGTCTGAGAGGGAAGTGAGGCAAAGGAAGATTTGAGTTTATTTGAGAACGTTCTTTCTCTTTATCTTGTCTTTGCTGTTCCCCTAGCCTTGTGCCTACTAGGAAGACACTGGTGCCTATGGCTCCTTCTCAAATAGTGGTGCCTTTGCTCCTTCTGTGTGGCATATTACTCCATCACCACCATTTTAAGTTGGTTTGCAAGGAGTTACACTCTGACAAGCTAAGTGGTTGGTCAGGTCAGCGCAGGGCTGTTGTGGACAAGCTGCCACCAGCCATGTAAGTTTGTAGATGAAACAGACAGCAACCTCGGCCATAATTAAAACTAATTATT